CCCCCCCCCCTGGAAATTATTGTAAGCCCTGTGCCAGACTTAGAAATGTTGATGGGAAAACAGGGAATCCCCTTTTCTAAGGGGAAAGTTACTAGGTTGCATATATTCCTAGCTGACCTAGTTAAATCTTTGGAGAAATCTCAAGCTTAAACGTACCTTGTGCTAACATAAAAATAGTACAGTATGCTACCCTCTTTTTAAAAAAACAGCAATATTTTATGATTAAAACGCTAACTTGTTTGAAATTTCTGCAAACCAAAATTCCGAGATAGCCTTTTCATTATTTGTATCATGCATTCCCTACATCATAAATTCTCTGTATCCTGTTTTCTCTGTATCCTGTATTCTTTGTATCGTGTATTCTCTCTAACCTGTGTCCTGTATTCTCTGTCTTCTCTATATCCCATATTTTCTAGATCCTGTATCCTCTGTATTCTGTATTATCTGTATCCTGTATTCTCTGTATCTTGTATTCTATGTATTCTGTATTCTCTGTATCCTGTATTCTCTGTATCCTGTATTTTCTGTATCCTGTATTTTCTGTATCCCGTATTCTCTGTATCCTGTATTCTCTGTATCCTGTATTCTCTGTATCCTGTATTTTCTGTATCCTGTATCCTCTGTATTCTGTATTCTCTGTATCCCGTATTCTCTGCATCCTGTATTCTATGTATTCTGTATTCTCTGTATCCCGTATTCTCTGCATCCTGTATTCTATGTATTCTGTATTCTTGTATCCTGTATTCTCTGTATCCTGTATTTTCTGCATCCTGTATCCTGTATTTTCTTTATCCTGTATTCTCTGTATCCTGCATTCTCTGTATCCGGTATTCTCTGTATCCTGTATTTTCTGTATCCTGTAAAAGCAATGAACCTATCCCTGATAGAATTTTATCTTGACTAATATTAGAAGAATATAGTTTAATTATGACCTGACAACAAGATCTTCAAGATGTTGAATCTCCTGGTTGCAGGTGCAGGAGGAGGACCTGTATATGGGAGGCTGTTCCCATGGGAGAGTAAACTGAAGACTTTTATCAGATCGTTCCACAGATTCACTCTGAATTGTTAAACCACAATAGTCATCTAATTTCTTGTTGAAAATATATAAAGGATTATTATAAAGGAAGACTTTAAGCCACTGGCAACGCCGTGTTCTTTGTTAGTTTGAATTAAAGGGAGTGATCGGTATTGTATCGTTGTTGAACTGAGAATGTAGTATTGTGGAGAAATTTTTTAGGAATCATTTGAGACATATAAAACGATTATACGTGCATATTTGTTAAAGCAAGAGCACAAATTCAATCTTTAAAATCCTCATAGGTTGTACATTATTGAGGAATTACTATGAGAATCCTCAAAGGTTGTACATTATTGAGGAATTACTATGAGAATCCTCATAGGTTGTACATTATTGAGGATTTACTATGAGAATCGGTTACTTAAAAATCATTAAATAACGACGACGAAAAATATAGTAAAAATTCTATAGTAAACTAGTTGTTTAGGAACAGGTTGAGAATTTAAAAATTTATTATTTTCATCGAAAATACATATCTTATTCAGTTATTGGTTTCTGTAATGTCTCATTGTTTACAAACATTTTCTGTAGATTTTCATAAAGAATGAGAAATTCAATTTAATGATGAAAAGAAATGATTGATTCTAGCATTGATTTATTAAGTAAATTTCAATTGAAAAACATGTTCCTAAACATCTAATTAGTTTACTGTAGAATTTATTTTACATTTTTTGTTGTTATTTAATAATTTAAAAAAAATTTTATTCTCAAAACGTAACCACCGAAATGGATGATTTTGAATGTTGACTTTGCGCTTAAACATAATTTTACAACATTAAAACGTTATATATGTAATAAATCCAAGAGCAGCTGTATAGTTCATCTATAACCTGTATTATCTGTATTATCTATGATTTAGTTTCGTACTCTGACCGGCACGACCGATCAAACTATTTTACCTGTTATCAATAAACTAGTACCAAATCAATCGTCGGAATTAGCCTGGGTAGGCTGTTAATATAGTCAGGATTGACGGAAGAATTAGAGTTTGAGACAAGTAGTTCATAGAATTAAACTTCATGATATTTTCAACAAGTTCTCGGGACCTAGATTGTTACATATATGTCTTTAAGAATAACCTGGTTTTTGTCTGCAGTTGAATCTTCTAGTATGGAAATAATTTCATCATCATTGATTATCTCTTCCTCAAGAAAAGCAGAGATCTCAATCTTGTTAAGTTCTTCTTCTAAGAACTCTACTTTAGCCTCCAACGCAACAGTACGCTTCTCTAGCAGTTCTCAAAATATGTTAATTTAAAACCATTAAACAGGGGAGGATACGGTATTTAAGTGAAGGAGGGGGGGGGGTAAGATTTTTTTAGGAACAAAAAAATTCATAGTTAGGAACAAAAATTTATTTTTGACTTAAAAGACTCAAAAAGAGTCAAAATTAATGACTTCAGACTAAAAAACTAGATTTTTAACTTTTCACACATTATAGTTTATTAAGACAGATATTTTTCCTGTTTTGCACTAGGGTTTCTTTCCCAATCTGTGAAGGGGGGGCGAATGTCCCCCCACCACCCCCTGTATCCGCCCCTGTAATTTAATTTCTAACTTTGTCATTTTATTTTACCATTAAAAGAGACTGGTCATTATTATTTAAAGAAACCTTCAATTTCAAAGTAAATTTAAAGTAACCCTTAATTTCAAAGTAAATTTAAAGAAACCCTTAATTTCAAAGTAAATTTAAAGTAACCCTCAATTTAAAAGTAAATTTAAAGTAACCCTCAATTTCAAAGTAAATTTAAAGTAACCTCAATTTCAAAGTAAATTTAAAGTAACCCTCAATTTCAAAGTAAATTTAAAGTAACCCTTAATTTCAAAGTAAATTTAATGTAACCCTAAATTTCAAAGTAAATTTAATGTAACCCTCAATTTCAAAGTAAATTTAATGTAACCCTCAATTTCAAAGTAAATTTAATGTAACCCTCAATTTCAAAGTAAATTTAATGTAACCTTCAATTTCAAAGTAAATTTAAAGAAACCCTTAATTTCAAAGTAAATTTAAAGTAACCCTCAATTTCACAATAGTGCAATTTTTAAATGTTAAATGTGAATAGCAATTCTGAAGATGTAGTAGTTTTATGTCTTAATAAAGATAATTCGTTTCCCTTACTTTCCTTTGGTTCCAAAAACCCTCGATGAAAATTAATAAATTTTAAGTTAGAAAAAACCAGAATATCTTTATCCTTTATCAACGTTTTAATTTAATAGAAGATGGGATGACATGGCACAAATGATCAGAAGCACATTAAATCAATGCATTGAACCCACTGTGAAATAGGAAGACGACTTTAAGACTCAAGTTATGATTGTATAGAGTCCAATGAACATGAAACACAATATTTGCGCAGTGTACCCCGATCCTATTCATTTAATTAATTGATTTTCAATCTACCAGCAAAAAAATGTTCATTATAACAGATTCAATTACACAAAATCGTGCTGAAATGTTGTCTTTCAAAAGCCGAAATGCTAAAAATTTCTAGAGTTTTCAAGTTCTAGAATACCGTACGTCTAGAGTTTTCAAGTTCTAGAATACCATATTTCTAGAGTTTTCCAGTTCTAGAATACCATAATTTTACGAGTTTTCAAGTTCTATAAATAATGTATTTCTAGGGTTTTCAAGTTCTAGAATACCATATTTCTAGAGCTTTCAAGTTCTAGATTACCATTTTTCTAGAGTTTTCAACTTCTAGATTACCATTTTTCTAGAGTTTTCAACTTCTAGAATACCATATTTCTAGAGTTTTTAAGTTCTAGAATACCATATTTCTAGAGTTTTCAAGTTCTAGATTACCATATTTCTAGAGTTTTCAAGTTCAAGAATACCATATTTCTAGAGTTTTCAAGTTCTAGAATACCATATTTCTAGAGTTTTCAAGTTCTAGAATACCATATAAAAGTTTTAAAGTATCATCTACATATATACTTTGCTTGTCTGTTTGTCTGTTTGTTTGCCGATAAACTTTAAAACGGCTGAACCGCTAGGGCCCAGATACCTCACATGATACCAGGGAAGGTTTATAAATGGTAAGAATTGAACAAATTTGGCTTCTAGAGAATCATATTTTTGAAGTTTTAATGTCTGTGAACTGTAACCTAGACGATTGACCAAGTTTAAGATATTGTCCAGGCTACTCTTGTCTTCAACCCTGAAAAGTTAAAAAAAACAATAAAAAATGTAGTTTTTAACGAAATTGCAATTACATCAATCCAAAAAGGGAAAACAGATGTTTATATAATTAATGTTTTAATAAAAATGTCACAGTTTAATGAAAAGAAATATTGAAATTAATCCAAAAAATGTAATAAAAAGATAAAAACGTAATGGTTTTTATAGAAATTTCTTATGAAATTAATGTATTAAAATTTTTTCCCAAAAAATGAATTAAAATAATAAAAAAATTAAATTATATATCAGAATTTTAAACTCACACATGAAGTCCTTGAGCTTTGTTGAACTGAATAAGCAGGAATAAAGTTGTAACAAACTTCTAAATAAAAATGTTATTATATACGGTGAGACTAGGAAGCCAAACATTTCGCTTAAAGGGAGTGTTCGCGAAAAATGAAATGGGGTATAGGCTTAATGCAATAAAAAAGCGCTTTTGATCGCTACTAATCTTACTTCTATCTGTTTCATCTATAAGGAAAAAATTGTTAAAGACGTCTCATACCGAATAACATGGCGCCCATACAAATTGAGAAAATTGCAACATACAACTTAGACCGTAAAAAAATCCATTTAATTTCAAACAAATCATTCAGATATTACAACCTATAGTCATCGATTATCTTTCGCCACATTTGTATATATTTGATATTTCATACTAGTTTTGATTTTGTTTTTTTAAATAATATTTAGCTTACAACTTGTTTTCGAACATTCCTGGAAAATATGAAAATGTCGTCTTCATTACCAAAAATCCTCGAAACAGGAATAAATGTAACTCTCAGATCATTACAATTAAAACATATTATGAAAAATAAACTATATATAAATGTGGCGAAAGATAATCGATGACTATAGGTTGTAATATCTGAATGATTTGTTTGAAATTAAATTGATTTTTTTAGGGACTAAGTCGTATGTTGCAATTTTCTCAATTTGTATGGACACTACGTTCTTTGGTATGAGACGTCTTTAACAATTTTCTCCTTATAGACGCAACAGATAGAAGTAAGATTAGTAGCGATCAAAAGCGCTTTTTTATCACATTAAGCAAATAAACCCTTTCATTTTTCGCGAACACTCCCTTTAAGAATTTGATTTTTAAGCTTTAAAACCATTTTCTGTAGAACACCATGAAAAGATCAAATTCACATTGCTGAAATGTCGCCTTTGTATTCCCCAGTTTTATGGGTCTCGCTGTAGGCCTAATGGTTTATATAATTTAGCATTCTATTGATGGGCACTTACTATTCCTAGTAAAGAATATGGATTTTTTAACTGAAAAATACCTTCATGATTTTTTCCAATATTTTCTGATATATTGCTTTGATATCTGAAAAACGGAGAATTTAATAATCATAGGCACTCAAAGTGACTGTATACTTATGTTTGAGGGAATTCCATTTATTGATGTGAAAGGCCCTATTCACGTAACTTTTAAATATTAGTCTCACAAAAATGTTGCAAAAAACCTCGTTTTCTTTAAATGGTGGGGCACTTGAAATATTACATCTCGAGTCCTTTATGATAATAGGAACTCTAATTTTATAATCCCATATATCTCTGCAACCTGATGTTGTAGATCTTTCTTTTTTTGGATTATGAATTCTGCAAGATCATTCCGGCAAAGTTAGAAAAATCAAAGGTTTACATCATGAGGTTGCCAAGATTATAAGGGATTCAATAATATAGTTTGTGAAAATTTATCAGATTCTACTCACAAAATTAGCTAAACAAGGTCTGTACCATATAATAAGGTTTCCATCAAAAGGTGAGAGTTTAAAGACAATTGAACCAAATCTGTTTCATCGTTTTCCTTCCAAATGTTTGGCGTACTGCTGCTGCAGCTGTACAAATACAGGGTGTCCCACGAAACATGACAGTTGGTATAAATAGTTTAGAATGTCTTCTTCCATAATTTGATAAGTTTTTTTATTCGAAAGACAATAATAAAAAATATTATTTAGGAGTCATATTATAGAAAAATTTATTTCAAAGTAAAATATACTAGTGCAAAAGATTTTTTAAACGAAATAAACTGCAAACAGCCTTTAATATCTAATACAGTGTATGGAAGACGACATTCAAAACTATTTATCAACTGTTATGTTTTGTGGGACACCCTGTATTTATTTCTCAGCCAAATCATTTTAGCAAATTGAGGTTCTCATTAAAGTCTCATCCTTTGTGGGTAACTCTGTACAATAGGTCCGAATGCTATGCCAGCTCTGAGGAAAATGCGCGGGTTCTCACATGTAGAAACATACACTCAAGACGGGCGTAGAGAGTAGATTCTTGTGTGCAAAAAGATGGGACCCTGTTCAAATTTTCGTCCGTATTTCGCAAACTTTTTTAGATCAATAATCAATATATAAGATATCGAGTTTAATGGGTAATGGGTCCTATTGTACAATGACCCATTTTGTGAGTAAAAATTAAATGCCTGAAAAACGAAAGATATTGTCCAGACATTTTTCATTTCAGTGCAGCAAGTAATAAAGAACCTGATATGTCCCGCATCCTACATAGTACATTACTACATACACAATCACTGGGGGGGGGGGGACTGTGGCACCTCCCTAAAATCGCAGCTAAGGAAGTAGGTTTAGGGTACAGGAATAGATTATAATCGAAAGTTCAGACAAGTGTGTACAGTAAATTTATGATAATGGTTATAGGTCTACACTAGCTAGAGATGGACATCGTTTTTGTGAACAAATAACATTTTTGAGAACAAACTAAATTTCTCGTGAACGTTTATATGATCTTGATCGATTATTAACATCTTCAAAATCATTTGTTCAAATGAACTTGAAAAACGATCAATGAGCTAAATTTCTGAAAGATTTTGAATATAACGATAGGATTTTTACTTAACGAACAATTTTTTGAATAAACTAAACAATTGTTTAGTGAGAAAACGAACGAAATAGATGAAAAATGAACGATAATTTTAAGAATCTAGAAATTTTTTTTAAACTATTGAAAAAACTAGCAAAATGGGTCTTTCCTAAATAATGAGCAAACAAAGTTAAAACGTCTAATGCGCCCATCTCTAGTTTTCACTTAACAGCCTACTGAGAGAAAGTTTTTCTTTAACCGGCATCAGATTTGCATCTTAGGAACTCTTTTTGTAATTCCCCTTTTCTTTTAGTTCATTTCTTTCATTTCTTTTCTTTCCTTTCATTTCTTTCATTTCTTTTCTTTCCTTTCATTTCTTTCATTTCTTTTCTTTTCTTTCCTTTCATTTTTTTCTTTTTTTTTATTCATTTCTTTTCTTTCTTTTCTTTCATTTCATTTCTCTTCTTTCATACCTTTTCTTTCATTTCTTTTCTTTTCTTTCATTTCTTTTTTCTTTCATTTCATTTCTTTTCTTTTCTTTCATTTCTTTTCTTTTCTTTAATTTTTTTTTTATTTTCTTTCCTTTCATTTCTTTTCTTTCATTTCTTTTCTTTTCTTTCATTTCTTTTCTTTTCTTTTTTCGTTTCTTTTCTTTCCTTTCATTTCTTTTCTTTCTATTCTTTTCTTTTCTTTCCTTTCTTTTTTAGGGAATAAGAATAAAGGGAAGGGAAATGGCGCTGGACTGGCGTCAATAATAATTAAGCTTGAATAACGAGTAGTTTATTATAAACTTTAATTAAATTATATTCTTTGCATGCAAAGAACCTGTAAAATCTTTCCCTTGGATGTTTAGAAAGATGAAAATTTCCCTGTATGATACTTGAAGGCCTGCAGTATGGTTTAGGTCAATTATATTGGCGTGCTAAGCCTATGGGTGTCAGAAATGATTTTTTTTGTGTATTTTTAAAAACTCCTGTAAAACTTATTTGGCTTATAGTCTTGACTTAAATGTATAAATAATATATTATACATGTATATTAAACTTATTTTAAATTAAATAATTAAAAATTAAAATTTTTACTCTCTTAGACTGTACAAATACCCAAAGTGATTAAATACTAAAGTGGGCCAAACTCATAGTTGAATGACGACAATTTAAGTCTCAAGTATTTTA